CTTCTTGCAGGTAGCCATACAGTCCTAAGTGAGTGAACGCCGATCACGGAGTTGTTAGCTGATGGCGGATAACAGAAGAGCGATAGCGGATCGGGTTACTAGAAGGGTTACCAACCCAGTTTTTGGGCTAGGCTAGATGAGAGGATACCGAAGACGAGGAGAAAGTATAAGAGCAAGGAGAGCACCCAGTGCACGCTGCGCGACTGCGCAACTGCGCAACTGCGGACTGCGGACTGCGGACTGCGCACCCAGAGGTCAAAAAAAAAAAAAAAAAAAAAAAAAACTTTTGTGATGTGTAGGCAGCAATTAACTTTGTTTGCCGAGGGTTAGGGTGGGTCACGCTAAAATTTCATGAATAAGTACACCAGAAACGAGAACAGATTATGCGCTCAAGTGAACATTACTTTTGCAAATCTTCATCATCAGACTAACCAACAAGAGACGTAGGTAACTTAACTCTATCGACATTCCGTGAACTACTGATCCAATTTCTTTCTAAGCAGGTAGAGGTAAAGCAACATGGCAAAATACATTGGTGCGGCAAAGTATAAGGGAGTAGCACGGAAAATACGACCAGTTAACCAACCCATGCCTCAAGATCTAAATCCACCGCTTGAAAGACCACCATTGTCGCGGGACCCATACAAAACCCCGCTCACCCCATTTCCACCAACGTTTCAAGAAACAAGCAGAGTGACAGAGAAACGATTGAAGGCAGTGAATTTTGGACCTCCTGGATGGTTGACGGAAGAAGAATTAAAATTATTAAAACATGTGATTGTGTTAAGAGAAAAATCGATTGCGTTCTCGGAAGACGAGCGGGGAATATTAAATCACTCTTACGGCCAGCCTTACAAGATCCTGTTGTATGGGTGAGCAAACTCCATATTTGGAGTATGGAAAGTACAAGAGGGGGAGCGGAGGGAAGCAATGAACACCATGCATTCTTGACCACAACAGATTAAGAGTCGACTACTCACCACTTCTCTAGCCATCTCGACACCTCCCTCACTACCCGTCCCGGAAACTTCATCTTGACAACTCGGCACCAATCCGCCTTCTTATGGTACATACTCGAAGATCGACGAAAGATACACTCTTCGGACCATTGCCTCCTCCAACGCGACGTCGAAGACCGATTTCTATCCTTGACCGGAGACGAAAGATTGAATACAGACAACTATCAAAACTACCTCCTCTGCCACCATTGCCACCGCTAACACCGCCAGAGATCGACAACGCACACTCCCCCCAGACAGAACAACTCACTACACTCATCGACAACCTAAACAACTTCACGATATCTGCTGTTGCAACAACCGGCTCCGAGCTACCAAATCGCACATCTCCAATTGTTCCTGACATCGACAACCGACCACCTTCCCCTTTCTTATCCCCGATATCACATATTTACTCACAATTTCTAACCAGACAACCCTCACCTACTGTTCAACCGATCCCAATGTCAACGCCGACAACATCCGACATCACCCCCAGAGCTAAATTCCTACAACAACCGAGCATCTACAAGAGCGATGTTGAACAACTCGCCGCCGACGGATCCAATTTCGACAAGTGGAAACGGGGTCTCACCCGCATCATTCTTCTCACCCTTGGCCATGCTAACTTCTTTGATAAATCAGAAAACTACTCCAAATTATCCACCCAGGAAAACACCTGTCTTCTCTTTCTCATACAAATCACCATCAATGACGAACTTTCATCCCTTGTTGATCAATATACCAAAGGCACTGAGGCCTACGACGCTGTTCAGACCAACTTCCAGGGCACAGTACGATTCCGACAGATGGAACTTATCGATAAGCTTCTCGAATTCCGTGTTACCGGCCCTTCAACCGAGCCTTCCCAAATCCCCGGCCTATTCAACAAGCTATTTGAAACCTTCAGTGGACTTACCAAAGTCGGCGCAGGCCTTTCTCCTCTTGTCGAAAGCCTCATTCTTCAAGCTGTCGTCCCCTCTCCGGCCTCGATGTCTCGATCTCAATTGTTTCAAAACATCTCCCTTCAGCTTGGCAAGAAGCCCGACGTCACGGCCCGTGACATTCAAACTATCATCACGTCGGCATATGGCGAATCCCTCCGTTTTGATTCTTCTCCATCGACAAACGTATCCGTCTAAACGAACCTGGCCCAATCAAAATCAATGGGGG